CGATGACAATATTTTTTTGGTAATGGCGATGGGAGTTCCACTTGGGGAGATGGTTTTCCTACACACACATGTGGAGCGAGCGATTGGAGAGATCATGAAGAAACATCAATCAGAAGCTGATGAAGACGATCAAAAGCTCGTCAACATCCGTTTTGACATTGACGCAAGTTGTAAGGAAAATATGAAAGACAAGATATAGGTGGAAACCCACCAACGAGATGAGTTGGTGGTGAGGATGACCACCGCAGAAATGGAGTGGTGCAGAAGGTGTCGAACCTTCTTCCATACGGAAGACACGTGCCGAAGACCGGAACGCAGAAACTAAGCTCGGGGAAACACTGCTAGACCCCTAGCCTCGACAAATTCAGGAGCGGGCGGCTCCCGACAAGCCTACAAAGGGCGGCTCCCGACAAGCCTACAAAGGGGTGCCTGGGGCGCTAGGAGCAGTTGCTCAACAAGTTGGAGTTTAAGGTGCCAATGAAGCTGCAACATCAAGTGCCCCTGCTGATGTCACTTTGTGGGCGAACCCAATTTACTCTCCAGGACAACTAGTAGGGGCTGGTGGGTTTCCTCCCTCAACCTCTGGATTCACTAATCCGGCGATCAACATGGCATGGGCATCGTACTTCCAAAATATACCTCCGCATCCTTTTCTTCAGTAGCAACAGGGCATGCCCCCAACATATCCATCATTGGGTGTTAGCCCTTCATTTGCCAACATGCATGCGTTCACACCATTGGGATATGGCCAAGTGGGCATCCCTTCGATGTCAGGAGGGGGAGTCTCCAGGCTCCCCAAACAGTGGATGGAGACCACAACTAGATCTGCGCAAACTCAAGGTCACGTCAGGGGGGAGTCCCCTAGCAAGCAACAGCGAGTCAGCGGAGGAAGTGGGGTAGATATTCAGGTTGATGGCCTCCGTGCGGAGGCCTCTGGAAGCTCTACGGAAGGTTCGTTCCTCTCCGGCAATTAAACCCCATCTGGGACAGCAGGTAAGCGGAAAACAAGGCGTGGCCGTATGGAGTCTCTGTCCAAGAGACGAAGCTGCATCGAAACCAAGTTGATTCCAATGATTTGTACTGACGTGAGAGATGCATTGTGGGCTATTTCGTGGAATGGACTGGACGATATCCTGACCTTCCTTGACGATGTGTTTTGTCCAGAATCGCCTATGCCGCATACTCCTGAAACCCTCGCTCGTTCTGTGTTCCAAAAAAGCTTATCTTTCGTATCATCGAGAAAATTTTCAAGCCTTGTTTTATTATTGACTTTTCTGACAATCGTGCCAAATTCTTTGCCCCGCTTTTTGATGCACGTTTTCTCCCTTGTCAACTTGACCTCTTGGAGAAGGAAGGCCTTCGACTTATTCCCTTCTCCCGGTTCCTTGACGACAAACGTGCCGACCTCCGTAGGATTAGGGTAACCCCTAATCTGACGGCGAAATTTCTGCATGAGCTCAATTCAAAATTGGGCAAAGAGAAAAAGTTGGATGCCCCCTTTGTGAAACAAGCTCTGATGGAGCCTTGGTCATTGAAAAACAACTCAGGTGGGAGCTCCTCCCAGATCCAAGCACATGGGGCAACCTCAACGAATGGGCGGCTTAGGGTTGCCACGTGGAATATTCGTGGGTTGGGGGATTCGAATGGTAGGAATAAGAAAGGACGTGTAAAAGGTTGGATACACGAGCACAAGATAGATATTCTTTGTCTTCAGGAAACGAAGCTTTCCGAAGAGAAAGTTATGGAGTTGGGGAGATGGTGGGACGAACCTCAAATTTAGTCTTCGACCAGAGGTTCCATAGGAGGGGTCTCCATTTTGATCCACAGATGTTTAGATGCCAGTATTGTGGACTTTTGTGCTGATTTATGGGGAAGATGAGCATGAATTAAGATTTATATTGAATGACAAGAATGAGTGGCTTTCACAACCTATGCTCCCACAAGCTGTACAGAGCGGGTAGCATTTTTTATGATATTCCATTATATATCCCAGAATGCGATAATCTAATTCGAACCGGTGACTGGAATACCACACTGGACAGACAGGAGGCGATTAGAGGTGGCCGGGACGTTAATAAACTTACTGAGATGATGACCGAATGCGACCTAGTTGAACCATACAGCGTACTGCATCCTAGAAATCCAGGATACACGTGGGTATCTAACATCCGCAAAGAGAAAGGCAACATTGGGAGAAAATTGGACTTTTTCCTTTGCTCTCCCGACGCTTGGCTTGCCACAGTGGACATACGGGAACTCTCGAACCCCATTTTGGACCACAAGCCCTTAGTCGCCTCATTTACCGCCCCAAAGACCGATCGTGGTCCAGGCTATTTCAGAGTTAACACGCGGATCTTAAAGTATCCAGGGGTAACTAACTGGATGTATCGCTTCGGGTGAGACTGAAAGAATATGTTGGAAACCTTCGAATCTAAAGCAGCATGGTGGGAAGCTGGTTCACGATTTTTTTTGAAACATCTTAGTATTTTTTCAAGAATCCTTGCAGCCAAAAGAAAGCAGCGAAAAGACAGGCTGAGGAAGAGAGTGGAATATGTCGAACTCCACATGGGTCTGCATCCTATATCTAATCTAGTATGGTGCAACAAACCAAAACAGTTGATGGAAGATTGGGATATGTTCCAACAGGAACAGTCAGACGCTTGGGCAGAGCGCTTGAAAGTCATGGGTATAGTGGTCTATAACCGCATGACCCGTGATTCATTTCAAAAGCTGCTTCCCGAATGCCTGACCCATCCCATGAGTGAGTTAATGCACCCTTTTGACCATGATCGGCCTCTGGCCCAAGACCAATCCCAACTGTGTTCCTACGCGGCACAATACTACCAAGATATCCTGACCACGAGAAGACCAGACGAAGACATTATAACAGACTTGTCAACAGGTTCCAACCACTAGGCTCTATTTAATGCCCGATTACCCAATCATGGCAAACTTGATATAGATCGACCGATAACAATGGAGGAGGAGAGGGAGGCACTCCGCTCTATGGCACATGGTAAAGCACCGGGAGATGATGGTCTCCAAGTGGAGGTTAATCTAGTGATTTGGGACTCGATTAAAGAGGAGTTGGTAGACATCTATAATCAGGTTATGTATGCGAAACGGAATACTATCCTTATTATATAAGAAAGGGGACCGCTTAGACTTCAGAAACCGGCGGCCTTTTTTTGTACTTAATGTTTCGTATAAGTTGTTGAATAAGTTTTGGCTCGCCGTCTGGGCCGATATCTACCCGCCTTAGTTGACAAAGATCAAGCGGCCTCTGTACAAGGCTGGTTGATCCTTGACAAAATTGTGACGACAGTTGAAGCCTTAGAGATAGTGGGGAGCACAAATGCCAATATCTCGATCCTTATGCTCGATCTGGAAAAATCTTATGATTGAGTAAGTTGGACTTACGTGCTCACAATGTTAAGACACGTTGGATTCAGGGAAAATCTGTACAAATGGGTTGTAGCCCTATACTCCCTATCTACAACATAAGTGATGGTAAATGACCATCTCTTTGATTCCTTCGCCGTATCTAGGTCACTTAGACAGGGATGTCCCCTTGCACCCCTTCTATTTGTGCTACAAATAGAAAACTTATTGTGTAATATCACAGGAAATCCACAGATAAAAGGTCTTATTACGGGAACTTCGCATTGTCAAGCTAGACCATTGGCGGATGATTTGTTTGACATCTCTGAGAACTCAGTGTTCTCTATGTCGGCCTTAAAATTATGTATTGATGAATATTCGATATTATCTAAAGTGTCTGTTAATTGGTCGAAGTCTGTGTTTTTTCTACCAGACTCCCTATCACCGGTAGTCAACTGGGGAATGAAACACATACTCGCTAGGGACTCTGAGATATTCTTAGGGGTACATGTACCCTTGCTTCCTGTACAGTTGACCAAAAAGGTATTTTATTGCAAAAAATCTTATAGAGGGCTTCTATTTAGGGAAACCCCCCACATCTTTCTTTGATGGGTCGTGTAATGGTAATTAATGAGGCTCTATTTGCGTTATTGTGGTTCGTGGTAGCAGTTAGGCCCTTAGGTAAGCACCTATGTGCCTTAATCCGCAGACGGGCGACCAGGTTTGTATGAAAACCCTTTTTTGGTGACAACGAAGAGTCTATGTCTAAAGTGACTTGGGACTTGCTCTGCTTTGCCAAGGAAGAAGGGGGTTTGGGATTGATTGATCCTTACCGTAAGAGCCTCGATATGCTGGTACGATGGATTATACATGCGATAGGCTCCGCTGAGGAAGCTCGCTGGATATCCGTGGCTGAAGTCATCTTAACAACTGAATGAAATTTGGAAAGACCTTCGGATGTGTGGACATGCCTTCTGCTTCCCTCTTATCATAATAGGATGATGGGTTCGGATTTTCAAAAAACCATTATACGTGTCTGGAAAAAGTTGTTGCCAAACTCGTGGCTACAACCTGTTACCAAATCTGAAATTCTGATGCAGCCCCTCTTCGAAAGTCCGTTTATTAGGAAACCTGATAACAGTTGGTTTGCAGCAGATTCAACAGGCAGCAACTTTGGACGCAGTTGGATAGAGAGAGAGGTACTGAGGATTGCTGATATTTGGGATGATTTTGAGAACAGATGGCTTTCGCCATCAGAGCTTAGAAAGTTATTGGGTGTTTTATGGCACGTTGAAGAACGCAGGGGGGATGTGATAGATGCAATACTAGAACAATGAAAGTATCTCCTAAGCCTGGGGGGGTGGACCCCCTGGGTACATGGCATATCAGTCAGGATCCGGCAGATACAAATTCCTTTTAGAAATTGGTGAGCATTGACTGTGTCGGTAAGAGATCCTTTCATCATTGGACTGGCATACGAAAAGACCATCCTAATCAGTTGATTCAACAAGAGGGCTTCTTTCACCCTCCTCTCTCTGCTGGCCTGAATCAAATTCGGGTTTGGGAAACATGCGATGAGGAGGAAAACTGGACTTGTCAAGTCTTTGCGTATGACCTCCCTATTTCCAGCCTCCGGTTACACCTTAAACTGTGGGTATGGAAAGGAGGTCCAGAGGGTGAAGACTTACCACTTTCATCTTATTCGGTAACCTTGGGGTAGAAGATCCAGACCCCCCCCTCGGTCTCGGTGGTCACCTCATGACACAATGGTAATCCCATGTGGCCCTGAGATCTGGGCTCCACGGCCTCAACACCCCGTGCAACTATGCTCTTTGGCCTGTACTCTGGCGTATCCAGTCTCTGGGGCCCCCCTTCGTAGGGCCTCTCTGCAACAGCCATCACCTCATCCCCACACGGCCCTGACGGCCGAGGAACCACTGCAGCGGCTGGACCACTCATGACCTCCTGCTGCTGCTGCTCTGAACTATGCCCTCCCGAGCCAATCCCTGTGGCCCAGGAGCCCAACTCCGCCCTCAACTCTCCCAACCTCGGGGCATACTCTGGAGTATCGAGTCTCTGCGGCCTCTCCTGTGGTGTACCTATCCCCATAGCTGCTGCCAGCTCATGCAGGCGCGACCCCCTCTTCTCATCAGACATAACCATGAGCGATTCCTGTGCGCTACCTCCCTTTGCGAGCGGATACCGGGGTCCTTGGACCAGCCCCTCGGCACAGGCCTCATGTGATGGAGACACCCTAGGCTGCATAGCCACCTCAATAGAAGCTCCCACCCCAACAGTCTCCTCCTCAACCCTTCGTATCGCCTCCATCCCGATTGGATCCCGCGATGCCTCCTCCGTCGGCCTCCTCTGTCGAAGGGGCTCTACTGCCGCTCCCTGACGAGGCGAAACCCGCGTCCCTCGATCCTGGACATCAACGCCAGCCCGCACATTCTGTCCGGCCACCCCGGCCGCCGAAAGCCTATTTACAATAGCTGCCAGTTCTCCGAACCTTCTTTCCCACTCAATCTTTCTCGCCTGGCTCGTCGCCCTCTCCTCTGCGAGTTGAGTAGTCAGGTGTTCCACCTCCAGTATTCTGGCCGCCAGCTCGTCACTGAGTAGACTATACCGACGAAAGGATGTAATTGCCACTTCGTGAATCCTCCCATCCACACGTTCGATCGCCATCCTAGTGGCAGAGAATCCCAAGTCCCCCGCCTCCTTCAACTCATCCACCCTCTCGTCCGCCTGTCCTGTCTCTCGCGATCTTTGGCGGGCTGCATCCCTCTGGCCCTCATACCTGGCCCACAATTCGTCGATCCTCTGCTCACTCGTCTTGGGATCGACTGGCGGTGTCGACGCTATCCCTTCCTCCTCCATCTCGGCCTGTCTCGCGTGTATCTCAGCCAGACGGACTCGTACTCTGGCGGACTTTTCTTCGCGGGTTTCCTTTGAGGCTCCTCCTACTCTCGGTCCGCGGCCCCTTGGAGTTAACGCCCCAGCACTCTTTCCTCCACTCGTACTTGGCAACGCCGGCGGGGACTCGACTGGTGCAGGCCCCTCGGTACCTGGACGCTCAGCCATATACATGGCTGACGACAAATCGGGAATCGCACTCACCCTTGCTCTCTCCCCTGCCCCCTGTCTCTCCATCTCTGTCCCCTGCTCAGGCAAAGCAGCGATCTCTGGGGGGAGCTCTGAAATCTCCTCGCTATCCGGCTCAGAAATCCCCTCTGGCCAGGGTTGCCGCGCCTGCCCTGGGACTGAGGTACCTGGAGGGGTGTCGTCTCCAACCGTAATCACCTCTTCAGCCTGAAGTCGCGCCTGACCCTGCTGCTCAGCCACCATTCCAGGATCCTGTGGCTCCCCTCGGTCCCGTATGTCCGCCTCCGCCTCGGGGTCTAAAGGCTCCTCTATTGGTACATATCGCACTGGCTCGTCTGAGCCCTCCCCCAACCGTGAGGCTTCCCATCAAGATACGTCGAGGTGAGTCGCCAAGTTCCGGAATGGCGTCTCCCCTGGCACGTCCTGCTCCTGCCCTGATAGCGGCGGCGAAGGCGGCCGCAACTCATCACTCGTAATCCGCTGAAACTCGACTGGCCTAAGACCACAAGCAAGGAACGACTCCTCTTCCGGTGCGGGCTCTATGGGCTCGTCCTCTTGCCTTGCTCGGGCTCTCCTTCCCTCTCTGGCCACCTCCGCCCGCTTTGGCACTGGCTCTCCTGGCCTCTTGCTTCGCCTCCGCCTCTTGACCCTAGGCTCTGGCCTCTCACGCTCTGGTCGCCCGAACACCCTCCTAAGATGAGCCTGGCAGTCCTCCCAGTCCCGCGCTCTTTCTTGGATCTGCCTGGTCACCGGCCTCTCTGCCCTCCTAGTCCAGATAAGTAGGGTCTGCATCCACTCCTCCTGCGCAATCCCCTGGCTCAACATATAGTGCTCATACGCGGGAATAAACTCCTCCGCATTCCCCTCCTCTAGCCGAATGGGCGTGCCATCACGTCCCATGGGTGAAGCTCTCAATCTCTGCATCCCGGCCTCAACATCTGGCCAGGTCAGGGCCTCCTCGCATATCTGAGCGATAGGCTCCTCAAACCGCCCTATTCCCCTCAAATGCTGAATCATCTCCGCCACTGACGATCCTCTCTATATCGCATGGTCCCGATACACGTCCAGGAAGAGCTCTATATTGTCATCGTCAAACTCGGGCGTAGGCTCCCTCCAAGGCGGCTTGCGTTGCTCGCCCCTTTCAGATGCCCTTTGTGGCCCCTGCCGTGACCGTGCGTCCCTCCCGCCCTTCTGCATGGCTGCCTTCGAGAAGTCAGACCTGCACAACAGGCGAGAGATAGCAAACAGACACACAGCAGAGTCAGCAACCAAGTCCAGCGGCCTAGGACGAGTCCCACACACATTCTAAACCCATCCAACTCAGACATCCCTCTATCCGATCCAGCTAAAATGTATGATATCTGGGCAAGGCTCTATTCTAAGGGTTTCGTGGTCCTTTACGTATTCTCTGGCCACAAACTTTTTCAGTCTTGTCCCTGATACCCAGTCCTGCCACTTCGCCCCATCCAATTCCTCGATTTGATAGGCCCCAAACTCGCCACACCGCACAATCCTATAAGGTCCCAACCACCGTTTATCGAGCTTCCTGGACCATTGCTTTTCCAGCGAGGAGTCGTATAACAACACTGTATCTCCAACTCTCAGCGGGTCCTTCCTTACGCGTGCCATCTGGTCCCATCTCATCTTGTCCTCATGCGGCTCCTCTCTACCTGACCAACGGCCTCCCGCAACCTTTTTTCGACAATTCCCACTTGTCGTGCCCGAATATCAAGCAACTCCTCGAATGTCAGGTTGGTTTCCAAATCCTGGCACCTGCAGGTTTTCAAGAAACTTTCAATAGGGAAGGTAGCGTGCCTTCCATACCACAACGTGGCTGGCGCGTACTTGGTAGTCCTTTTTACCGTGATATTCTCGACAAAAAAGGTTGCCCTCAGAAACTTCGGCCACTGGTTGGGCCTCCCTTCCGTCCACTTGGCAAGGAGATTCGTGATGGTGCTATGCCCTCTTTTCACTGGCGCATTCGCCTGAGGGTGTGCTATCGTGGTATAATTTGCCCCCACACCATATCCCGCAAGCAAGGTTTGCACTTCTTGACATGTAAATTCCGATCCTCGATCCATCACGAACTCTTTGACAAAGGGGTAACGTAAGTAGTACTCCTCGATGCAGCTGGCCAGGACTGGGCCGGTCTTCGTTCGTATGGCCCGACCATCCACGAACCCAGTGAGGTTATCCCGCCCATCGAAGATGTAGTTTTACCATGGTCCCCTATCGGCATAAAAAGCAGGTCCAAATGCACCAATGCGCCTACCTCTCTTTCCAACCTTGGATGTAGGGGCTCCCCTGGTCTTTGCGCTGATCTTTTCTGGCAAGGCACATACGACTTACAGTACTTGATGACCATCTCCAACATCCCACTCCAATAGTATAGCCCACTTATTTTGTCGTATGTGACACTTACCCCTCTGTGCCCCCTCTGCTATACCATCATGTAACGCCGCGATAATGTCGATTTGCCGGTTTCTCCCACACACAACCCGCCTGGGATTTCCGACTTGCCGCTTTATAAACAAGTGCCCATCTCTCACCACGTACAGGTGTCTCGCCCTTTGTGCCGTATCACTGACATCTCTATCCCTTATCTCGCACGATAGGAGCAGCCCTAACTCCCGGTAGATCCCATCATACTCCTCCGCCCGAAACGCCTCCTTGATCTCTCCCTCTTCGAACTCATCGTCCTGGCTTTCGGGTACAGGTCCCTCGCCTTCGACTGGGTTCAACGAGCCCCTTCGATCAAAGTCTCCCTGTAGAAGTGTATTCGTTAGGAGATACATTCCTCCCATTAACTGCTCGTGCTCCTCAACCTTAGTAGGGCCTTCCTCAATTGTCGTTACCTCTTCCGCCAAACTGTGTGTGTCTGCCAGTGCCAATTCCATCATCCAATGGACGTCCTTGCCACCCCATGGGTCTTCCTCTTGAAAAGGCTTGAGGACCAACTCCGCCTTTTGCTTATACCCCCTAGGCACTAGCCATATGGAGTGACTGACGCAGCTAGGCACCCTCAACGACCATTCGTTTATATGGAGGCGGATGTCCTCCTCTTGAAGCAAAAACCCATCAACAGATGGAGTATCTTCTATCGATTCTTGCCCTGGCCTATCCCAGTTGACACGGCTTAACCCATCTGCCCTGTTCTTATTCCCTGGAATCCTTTCCAACTCGAAATTAAACATCCAAATGTAGGTCAACCATCTCACGACGGTTGGGTCAGATGGGTCCACCCTCAAAACGAGCCTCCGCCCGAAAACATAGTTCCGGAAGGTCCTCAGGCAGTGGAGTACCGCCAGCGTCTCCTTCTTAAACTGAGAGTAGTTTCTCTCAGTTATATTGAGCGTACGACTTTCAAACCTTAGCGGCCTCTCCTTTCCCTCAGCGTCTGCCTGAATCAGGACCCCTCCCAAGGCAGTTGGCCCATCGCCCGTCTCGATAACGAATGGTTTTTCCTCTGTGGCCTCATAGTTTGGCGCTCCCAATACCAAGCCTCCTTCCTTAAACTCTCCCTTCATCCTGTCCACTGCCTCTTCCTGATCTTTACCCCAGACCCATTCCTGGTCCTGACGCACCAACTTCCTCAAATGCTCCGTCTTGGCGGCAAAGTCCTTCACGAAGCTCCTCCAGAAGCCACAAGTCCCAAGGAAACTCCTTACGTCTGTTATCGAGTGGAAGGGCATTGGCCACTCAATGATCTTGTCTATCTTCTTTACATCCGGCCTTCGCCCCTTCTCATTACAGACAAAACCTAGAATCGTGACCTCCCTCATACAATGTTTCGACTTGGGACCACTCGCCGTCAGATTGTGTTCCTCTAGCAGACCCAGAACCTGATCAATATCCTGGATATGCTTCCAGACGAATTGCCTCACTCCAGGCACCACTTCATCTTCCTCCTTCTCCTTCGGACCTTTGACCGCCAAATCGTCAATATAGGGTTGGGTGATATGTGGACTAACCGTCTGCATGGCCCTAATCATGTGCCTTTGTACCATTGCCACCGCATTGGTCCATCCTTGAGAGGCTACATTCATATGAATCAGCCCCCTTGCCGTATGCATCGCTGTCACCGGCCTATCTGGCGGGTATACAGGAAATTGGTCATACCCAGAATAAAGGTCTATGACTGAGATTATAGGCCTTCCTGCGCATGACTCTGACAGGGCGTCAGCGTTCGACAGCCCTCCCACGTCCCGCACTGTCACCGCATTCAATAGTTGTAAATCCTGCACCCATCGTAGCTTCCCGTTGGGCTTGATAAAACAGAACCAAAGGGAGGCGTACGGCCCACTGGAGTAGTCGGCCACGTGTGTACGCATCTTGCGGTCCAGGTAATCCACCACCATCTTTTCCTCATCAGGATTAGGATATCACGCGCCCCTCAAGTTCCATGGCTCGTGTGAGACGGTATGGATCCGAATCATCGGAATCTTATCCATATCCAACCTCCCACGTTCGTCGTCATCAAAAGCATACGCGCGATGTCTCTTCTTCATGGTCTCCACCATCAGGGTCCTCTCCTGGGGTGAAAAGAAGTCAGGTTCCCCAATTATCAACTTCCCCTCATTCTCATCGTTGATACGACACGGCCTGGCCAATGGGTGCTCCCGCATGCGCCGTATCAGCCCTCGCTCCCGCTCGTAATAGGCTTCTTCGTCCTCTGTGACAAGCACGGCAACTGGGCGACACTTCTTGTCTATGGTCTTGTATCGCCTTTGGGAGCCCTCCTCTAAAAAAGGTCGATTTGTCGTCCGTGCTTGGGCCATTGCAGGGCCTCCTCTTCCTCCCGGAAGCCGATATACCAACTCCACCTCTCCCACCTGAGAGCTCTCCAAGACCTGCTCCCTTAACGCCTTTATTTCCTCGGGGTCTGCCATATCGTGTGCCGCCACCACCTCCATTGCCCTGTTCACATCGGTAAGGCTCAGCGATAGTACCTCGGCCGTTCCTTCCTCCTCAGGTCCCTCCCGGAGCCTTCGTCGCTCATACTCGGACTCCTCGAAGGTAAAGGAGCCGAGGTTTGGCCTATTCCTCCCACTTCCTGGTCCCGTGTTCCGGCACTTGATGATCTTATAGTTTCCACAGGCCGGATCAGACAGGGCTAAGATCATCGTTCCATCATAGTTTCCACAGGCCGGATCAGGAGGATGGGGTGATCGACGTCGGGCATAACAAAGAAGCAAGCCTGCACCCTCACCTTCCCAATCTCCACCATCACATTGGACGCAGTGCCGCATAAAACTGCCGTACAATTGGCACCATGCAACACGCCATGGTCCGAGTGGTCAACCTCCAATCCCAATATAGTCGCGTCTCGCTCCCGGTGATGTTAATTTCGGCACCCGTATCCACCATCGCAATGCTAGGTTGGTCTCTCACCTTCAGATCCACCAACCCGCATGCCACACACTTCCAATCCATCCTTGTGCCTGCCTCTGTCCACTCTATTTCTCTTGGTAGGATTGCACTTAGATGGACGTTGGACACCAACCTCCGCGAAAGTCGACCCTTCAGACTATCACGTAGCTTTGGGGCAGATGCCAGGATATCCTTTAAATTCATAAGGTCATTACGACCTTCCAAAAACCTGTCCACCATTCGTTCCACGTCGAAACCCTCCTCCATCCGGACCGCGCACTTCTTCCTCTTAGGCACACTGTCGCGGAGGCTCGGCTCGACCTCCTCCTGGACTCCTCTCTTTTTGGCCCTTTGCTCTGCTCGTCGATCCTCTTCTTGTCGGAGCCTCTCATCCTCTTCATCACCGCCCTCCTCTTCCTCCTCCTGAACCTCCACCACTTTCTTCCTACGTTCAGGCTCGGGTTCCCTTCAAGGAGGTGCTCGGCAAGGTGCCTGACTAGGCCCCTGGCTAGTGGCAGCCTTACTTTGGCTCCTAGTCTGCGTGGCCTGCGACACCCTTCCATGCGACGTAGGGGGCCTATAGGCCTTCCCTGACCTAGGACCTGACCCAGCCGTCGCCACGCCTGGATACCCATGTTGTCCTGATGAAGATTCCGGGCCAGACTCATAGAGCATTACCCCAGGGAAACTCGCTCCCCACTCCTGGGCCTCGTCACACATCGCCCTCAGCCTTTCCTGGTACCTGCCTATCTTCGCAAGCAAATTCTCCATTCTTTCCAAAATGGTCGAGGCTGACTCTCTCACCACTTCCAACCCCTCATTGTCCGACTCAACGACTATAGGTTCTTCCTTTATAGTTCCTGCCTTTGATCGCTGGGTCACCTCCTCGCTCTCATCCACGATTTCCTCGATCCTCACACCCGGATCCTCCCTTTCTTGCCACATCCTAAAAATTGTCGGGGCTGCTGGTGGCCCTGCCGCCGCTTGCCTAAGGGCTTCTTGCCTGATCCCTCCCGGGATCTTGGGGTCAATATGCTTCCCCCACTTATCGTATATATCTCCGTCCATACAAGAGGAGATTAGCCTGACAATTCGTCATCCCGCCGCTGTTGGCAGAACCGTACGGTGTGGCCTACAGTGCCTCAATGCCAACAGGTGGCGCTCCGCCAATCAAAGCGGGGCCTCCCATATCCTTGGCCCCCCTCTTGGCTGCCTTGGCCATCTTGGTCCTGGCCCTCCTCACCATTCCAACCACCTCCGCGACCCCCACCATTTCTTCCTCGGCCCCGACCACCGCCTCCTCGACCGCCTTGGCCTCGGCCTCCATTGCCCTGGCCGCCTTGCCCTTGATTCCCTCCCCCGGCCACGCTAGCCTGCGATGCCTGCTGGGAGGGTGGTGGCTGGGCCACAAACTGACCTTGAGTCGCAGGGTAGCTTGGTGGGCCCCCACTTGCCGGTGGACCCGAATATGGGACCATCTGTCCTGCGTGGGCCTGACTCCCTCCACATGAAGTACAGTGGCTGAAACTGGGCCAGGGCACTAGCTGACAATGTGGCATCCAGTGCCCACAAACTGGTGGCGGCCCCATATGCGATGGCCCTGCTAGTGCTGGCGCCGCCGTGGCAGCAGGTGGCGGTGCGGCAATTGCTTGAGGAGCTTGCCCCTTCCCTGATCCCTGACCTCCCAGCAGCAAGTTGCGCTGCCTCCTCTGGGCCTTGGTCAGGACCTGGGAGCCCGTCTCCTCTCCGCCGTAGTCCTCACGTCCAGTCTCCTCATCCACTGCCCCTAATGTTCGGCCTGGGGCCCCGGTCACCCCTCTTTTCTGCACTTTTGCCTCATTATCATACCCCACCGCTGCTAGCACGTCCGTAACAATCCTCTTTACCCCCGGAGTCCCGGATGCGGTGGCGTCCCTCTCCTTTCTTTTGCGCCTCTGCAACCGCATCTGGTGCTGCTCCGCCTGGTCCAGACTCCCCTCCTCCACTCTCTTATCGATAGTGGCCCAGGTGAGTTTCTCACTTCCTCCTCCATGGCTCGTCAATTCTGAGGCCTCCGTGCTAGTAAGCAACCCCAAGAATATGGCACATTGCGCCTCTTCAGAGATCCCGTGCACCTTCCTCGCCTTCTTCTTGAATTCGTGCACGAATGCCCCAATAGTGGAAATTTCATCCTTATTCATGGCTTCCAAGTCAGCCATGGTCAGCAGGCTGTCTCCCAGCCTGTACTTCCTCATCATCAGGTCTCGAAACCTTGCCCAACTGCCATTGGTGGCGTCCACAACCTTGCTCACCTCGCGATGGTGGCTATGAAGGATGTACTTCAGGATCCGCTGAAACTTGACTTCGTCCGACAGTCCCACCGGCGCCTGCTCAGTCAAATCCAACCAGTCAGACACCCGCTCCCCCTTGAAGTGGAAAGTGTCGACTTTCGGAACATTGCTCGGTGCTCTCTCGCGCTTGTCCAGGGCCTCGACAAGATCATCTAGCATCAGAGCCTTTCTCGGGGCGGCGCCCCCACCTCCTGACATCTTGGCCAGCTTGCTCTTGCTCACCCTTCCTTTTAAGAAAAGAAATGGAAAGCTTCACTCAGCAACCCACCCCGATATGCTTCTACCAAGCTTCCCACTTTTTTCCTACATCCCTTAGATCTCAACAGACCCTACCTCTGTTGTCCAAACCTACTTTAACAGAGTCAGCTCCTGTCCAAAGACCCTTTACACAGTCTTCTGATCACGCAATCCCTCTAGCTATCAATTAGATCTGTTGGTGTTCAGGTCTCACACACGCACAACCACACAAAATATCACTTCGTTCACTCATCATCAACTCAATCATGCCTAATTCTTTCTCATTCCCATACCCGGATGTCGTTCCACCAGGGACAACGGTAGGCTTCCGTTATCCCCGGCAACGACGCCACCTGTCGAGCGCATCGATCCGGCGCCGCACGACGCAGCGCGGGACCCTCCCGACCGCGTCACACAGGAGTTGGTTTTAAATCCTTCGTCGCGAATATACAACGAGCTTCCGCAAGCCGCTCCGGCCGAGTGCACCAGCCATACCTCTCGGGAGCCCCAATGACAGGATAGGGCCTACACGAGGCACAACTTACCTCCACCTTACGGGAGCTGTCACCTCCCTTCGGTGGGCGTATCCCCGCCGAGCTACCAGTCCACAGTACGAAAGCTACCCAGTTGCAATCGCTGAGGTGGACCAGCCGATGGCGTTTCTCGTTCGCTGTAGCATAGGGGGTACGCGAGGTAATACTCCTCTATCGGACCCGCACGCGAACCGACATCTTGGGGGCCTGAAGTCCCAAGCGCGGCTCGTCATCGGTCGACTAGGATGCATTCCACACACCATGCGCACATCACTTTAACAACCACTAAAACAATGCACACCCACACATACGAAACAACACAACACAAACAACGCGACAACGCTCCTAGCCCCTTCCGTAGCTGTCCCATAACTCTCCGATGTGGAAATCGGATAGGCGTCGCGCGTGGGACTTGGTATAAAACCGCGGGGACGCAGGGCCTACTCATATCGACTCGCAATGTCAGCATACGCAAGCGGTTGCAATGATGGCGTACTACGTAGTACCCATACCCAGGCGGTCCTCGTTAATCTCGAAGGTCGCATTCGACACTCAAGTGTCGGCTGACAAGCGCCTTGAGGGTTAATCTCTCGACGCTGGACAACGGCCATGCGCGGTTGAAGACCACACACCCTCTTCTACACCTTATGCAGAGTGGGTGGTACACAGGTCCACACCTGTGGTGGCAGTCGGTTCTCGCGGCCCTGGGGATGAGTCCTACTCCAGGCCTGGTCGGAAGTCAAGGGGTTTGACTTTGACGGCTGCCACGGACTACAACGTCCAACTATAAAAATCCTAAAAAACAAGAGTAGGCCGAAGGGCCCCCCCCTATCCCATGGGGATCATGACCTTGGGGTACCCCTTTTTGGTCAGCGCCAACGGCCTATAATAATCTCGAGCGTTCGCGCATACGTGCGAGCCCCTTGATCCCATAACCTTTAGAAGCTAGGGCGGCGAGACGTCGTGCGCAAGGGTTCAATATAAAGCCGCGCGGTTGCAAGCCCCTTGATCCCAATGCACACCCACACATACCAAAAATTTGTACAAGCCCAAGTATAACAAAGGGTCTCAGAAAATGCGAGAATTGCTCAAAGTAAAGAAAACTCGGCTTAGAAAATGCAGGAATTGAACTAACTCATATCGCTCTAGCACGTGGCGAGCCTCTAAAGCAACTACCTGTCAACCTGAAACTCAGACCAAGTAGTAACCTCACTCAGCCACATGCAGGCCAAACCACAAAAGTAAGTACTATCGCCACCCCAAATCCTTAGTAAGTAATAGTTTATGCTCTCTCTGTGAGTTACCCCTTTATACCCAACTTACATAAGGCATAGGTCAAGCCACCTGAACTTACAGAGCGCGCCCAACTTAGCCAGGCCTAAAGTCAGATCACCTAAACTTATAGAGCGCATCTGACTTAGCCAAATATACACAAAACACAGGGCACAACAACTTTTCTCTTCCTTGGGCATATGACTAGACCACCCTAGTCGCCCTGAACCGTTTAAATAGCCAAGTTATATATATCTATCTGAACTTAATCTTCAAAGTGGGCATGAGGCTGAGCCGCTCAACTTAGAACACTGCTCAGCCTGCCCAGGTTTACCCTTAGTTATATCTCTTAATTATACTCTCTTCAATTGTGATAAGCTATAGCCAGACTACCTAAACTTATAGAGCGGTCTGACTAGCCTGTTCTTAATAACATAGTAATATAGTATAATCAATTTATAACCATTGGGTTCCAAAATGTGCGAGGCATTGGGTCAGACTACCTAAACTTATAGAGCGGTCTGATCCTCTGTCAGGTTCGTTCCTCTCTGATCCAGTCTTTGCGAGGGAGTAGGCTAGGCCACCTAAACTTATAGAGCGGTCTGCCTCCTGCCAGAATTACTCCCTTAAAATAAAACAGGAAAAGGGCTGAACCACCTAAACTTATAGAGCGGCTTAGACCTCCTCATTCAGAACAGAAAGAACTGAAAGAAACCCCAAGCAAACAAGACGACCCAAGGTGCCTAAACTTATAGAGCGCCCTGGGCTCCTGAAAACCATCCACAATCAAGCCCTCACAATCAGAGCGGTCAGGTCACCTAAACTTATAGAGCGTCCTGACCCTCCATGCAATTCACAGCACCGGGTCTCCCCAAACTTATGGGGACTTCCCAGCCTCCAGAACATTCATGCTACCTAAACTTATAGAGCGGCCTGATTGCTCATGGAAACCAAAATAAACAAAGTGTTGGGTCTCCCCAAACTTATGGGGACTTCCCAGCCTCCAGAACATTCATGCTACCTAAACTTATAGAGCGGCCTGATTGCTCATGGAAACCAAAATAAACAAAGTGTTGGGCTTCCCCAAACTTATGGGGACCTCCCAGCCTTAACGACCCAATCAATCTGCACACAATACTGCCTTCCTCCCAGCCTTCCCCCAGATGCAACCCTCTTTCGTTCACAATTTGCTTTCAGGCAACCAACAAATATGAAACTGACCTTGCACACACATTCCTTTACTTAGTCTGAATTCAAGTCCTGAAAATCAAACCAAAATCCAATACAGGGTTCACACCATGCGCTCAGTCAACCATAGAAGGGGATACAAATAGGGGTTATAGCTGGGTTTATAGAGGGAGTCAGGGAATTACAACTCAGTTCCCTGCCTCCAGGACTCCTCATGAGTCCCGGTAGAGCTCCCGCAATCGGTGGGGCGAACCTCCCACAAAGGCCTTCGCGCGGATCACGGGTTGGTACCCCGCTTACCGCCTTCCTCTCAGGACCACAGACAAGACTTAGAATAAGAGGGACAAAAAGAGAATCATTTAGTCTCTCAGATCCAGGAGTGGTGCGCTTAGACTCGCGGGAGAGGGCCTTCAAATCTTCAGCGCCTGAGGGCCCCACAATGGCGGCCAAATGATTGCAGCAACTTGGTCAACCCAAAGTCAAACTTCTAATCCCATCTCTCCTGCCGGACTCCCAAATCGCAATGATACTCCCCTCCACAACCACGCTTCCAAGCTGCAGCAGCAACCTCTTCCTGCAGCGGACCCAGCGTGTCCAGCGACACAATAGCCGACGCAGCCCGCGGGACCCACAGCAGAAAGAGCAGTAAGGAATGCTGTGACTTAACAGCCTGCTCTTCCTTCCTCGTAGTAGCCACTTGTAGTACGGTCCGACACCAGCAGCAGTGCTTCAGCAGGGGGGGATAACGGTGGGTAGGAACACAGCGATGCTGCCTCCCAGCCGTCTCAGTCCTCCAACCACCGCAAGCTGTAGCTTGCTCACCCAACTGGCCGTGGCTACTCTTGCCTGCACCCCTCTCGCGAAGCACCTGCTCCCGCTCCAGCCCAACATACGCCCCTTCTTTGCTGCCCTCCTCTGCTCCGCTGATGTGTGAGCACTCACCTGCCGCTTCCCTGCTGGCCTACGTGCACTCCCCTGTCGCCGTGCCGTGCAACCGCTATACTCAGTGCCTTGCTTGCCTCTGACCGTCCGCCTGGAAACCAAGAAGAGACCCCTCCCCTATTGCTCTACGCCGACTGCTATGCTCATCTTCAACTAGGTACCGCGCAGCCTCACTCAGCGCTTCCGGGTATTCCTGGACAGTGCTTCAGTACGACCCGACCCGTCCACCCGTTTCTGCTACTCATCAAGGATGCAACACCGGTATGAACCTGCCTCCAGATCACGGCCAGGTACGCCGGTGCGAGGGGTCCCGACCACTACGACGAACAACACCAGTCTGCAACGGTGAGGACAACGAGCAACACTCGAGAGCAGAATAGCGACAAATAACGAGATGCCCCCCTCTATCGTTGCTGCCCTGGCGGCTGGCCCCACGATACTCCCATCGACGGATGAGCAATTTCGAATGAATCTACCGGCGGAACCTGGTCCGATACCCGTGGCTCATTGCCCTGTTTGCTCATCCCCCTATGTGTCGCGCAGCCCTTGCACCGTCTTCCGCCAAAATGAGCCGTTGGTCCTCGAATCTGACCCTGCCATTCACTCCGGAGCACTCGAATACCTCCAGCTACTACCTCGTAACACTCGATTCCACTTGGAATCCAGTGAACGTCATGCTTTCCGCCCTCGCCGTGTCCCCCGTCACTCTGCCCCCGCGCACCCCATACTCTTCTCTCTTCCCTCCTTACTAACCTTCTGGCCAGGCTAAGGCCATACTCGGTTCCGCCCTCCCCAAAACCCCTATTCATACTCTCCACTCACCCGTTCTCGTCACGAATTCGGTGAGTTATTCCCCTTTTCCTACTGCCATCGACCTCTCACCATAGCCCGAACACCCTCTCTTTTCTCTACTAATTCTCATTCTACACTACTTACGCCAAATCTAATACTGGCACACCACTCGCCCGAGGCAAAAAACCCCGAAATCGCCCTTCACCTCACTCAAAACGGCTAAGGGTCGAGCGAGTTCCTTCCCCTCTACTGCACCCAACTCAGCTCCCCGCCATCTCTCTCGTCTCC